CCCCAAAACCCCAAAACCCCAAAACCCCTTCACCACAATATAGTAAATGCTCAAAGAGAACTGTAAATAAATTCTGATAGGAAAAGATCATTTAAATCATGATTGTATTCTGAATATTTTTCATAAACCTAATCCACCCTTTGATTCATTGTCCAGCGTACTTGTTGAGGAATTCAGTGGATCATTGTCATTCAGATCATTTACTACTGGTCTCACATATTCACCTGTTCTATTTCCATTGACATTAGTCAGCTCATATTCAACATGATGACTAACTTCCTTAGGTTTGTAGAATGGTTTCTCTTTCTTTGACAATTTTCTGCAAATATATATAGCTCCACCGCAAATGGCAATTAATATCAGTAATATAAACACTATAAGTTAAGTTATGATGAAAATAAAACTTACTATTTTTAGCGCTGAATTCAATGCTCTCTCTTATATGAAGTTCATAAGCATCATATGGTAGAATCTCTTCTTCACCAGTAAAAGGTACTTGCGCTTTTGCATAGACATTAACAAAGTAAGTCTTTCCAGGCATGATTTAAGGTACATTGAAAAATGTGGTGTCAGAATCATAGTAGCGAGTGTCTTCGGAATATTCTTTTCTTCTTATTCCACAGACGCTATTTAGATCCCTAGAGGAATCTTAAGTCACAGTCATTGAATAAGTGGCCTTTACCTTTGATACAGTTCCGAATTAGTCAGACCACATAATTGGATTCCATGTAAGATTTGCTAAGCCAGACATTAACATATAGCCATTAAGTGAGATTCTGTTATTTACCTAGTAATGAAACTCAGTTGTTCTAGATTGATTGTTAAGACTTAGTCTGACCTTAATCATAAAGTCAACTTGGTCGAATTGTGATTTTCCATCCCATTCTTGAACTCCATCAACTTTCACCATAATGAAGAGATTGTCTCTTGGAAGAGGGACATACAAGAAAGTTCTTCCCAATTCTTCTTTTGGACTTAAATCAACTTTAGATATTAAGCTTTAATGTCCATCTGGCTTATCAACTATAGATACTTTGCCTTTACCTTGACAGTTTGCGAAGTCTATTAGCAGGAATCCATTTCTAATATGAAGATCTTAATCAATTTGATACATCTTAAAAGAAGTTGGAGTTTTTAGTTGACCAAAGTATTGAGTTCTTGGGACCATCACGACCATTGAGGTAGTTGTGACTGTAATGTATAGAGTTGGAAGTGATCCGTTCAATTTTTCGTACATGTATTCGTAAGATTAAAGAGTAATCAAAAGACCTCCTGTCTCGTTCTTCACATTGTAGCCGGCTTCCTAACTAAGTTATTCAATACCTCTATCCCAAGAAATAGAATAGTTGAAATCTAATTTACCAGAGGGTGGGAACTATAAACTCTATCTGTTGTTTACATCTTCTGAGTAACGATACATAAGAATTGGAGTAAAATCTTTGTAGTTAGACTTAACAGTAATATCAACTTATTACTCTCCCTTAGGCAAGCTAAAAATAAAATGTCTGGTCAAATCATTCTTCATAAAGTCAACTTTCAAAGGAATTCCATCGCTTAATTGCTATATATGTCTTTCTTGATTTAGTAAAATACTAATTCTAGCATCATTACCCTATGTTTCTTATACTAAAATGTAGTACATCTCACCTGCTTTAATGAATTAATCACTCTTATCAATGGTTATAGATTTTGATTATGAGAATTCGATTGGAGTCTGAATAAGTCTTGCATCATAGATTTTAGTATACACCATTCCAGAAAGTTAAGTTAATTAAACCTAAAAAGACTCTCTCTCTTCAATAATAAACCTGAAATATACTTTCTCATTGGCCTTAATTGAGTAGTGCTAGGTCTCTCCCAATTTCAAAAGAAGAACATTCTCGAAAGTTGCCTCGAAATAATGAGCAAGAATAGTATATTCTGATCTTACATCATGAGAGACAACTGCGATTAGATAGTAGCAATTTGAGCAGTAGTCTTTTTCATCATTTAAAATAATGAGTTGCTTCTCATCCATTGTACTTGTTGATGAAATACTATCTTTAATCCAGCGGGCATTTCTCTTTGATTTTGGAAGTCTATCTGCAAAATTTTGACTTTACTCATCATCTTTAAAGGTTTAAACATATACATCAACTTTTCCAACTTTAGGATTTATCTGAATAAGCATATCAACTTAGTCTCTATCATGATAGTACATGAAGTATGTTGATTCAAATGGTTCTTGGGTTACTTTCAATGAATATCCAGATACTAGGGTACTGATTGGATTCTTTTCTTGTGTTACACTTATTGAATATTCTGACTTTTTGACTCCATAAACTCCAACAATCCAAGATCCTTTAAGATTTTTAATGCCCTTTGCTTGAATCTCAGAACTATCTAGACTAATTCTGACTAATTCAGATTTGAAAGTAGAGCTATATAGATCAAAATTAGTAAGTGTTGGTAGTTAATTTTCACCTTAGCTAATATATAGATCAGGATCACCATTTCCAAAGGTTGAAAGACTTATAACAATTGGACAGTCCAAGCATGAGGCTTCAAATAGATAGTACTGGAATTCACGCTCATCAACTTTTCCAGAAACTGGTGCTCCATTTTAAAGGAAAAGAATATCAGTGTATACTACAAAGTTGTATCTAATGCTGTCGTCAGCTTCGAGCTTTTGACTATCCTCTGGTTTTTGATGAACACCAAATACAATAGCGCATTGAGCTGCTACATTAGTATCTGTATGTCTGCTAAAGCAATCTTTCAAATTATCATTACTGATACTAATCATGTCTTATCTCATTTAAAAATCTGACCTCATAGCATATCTTGAAGTAGTTGGAAGATTCCATTCATCTGGAGCTTTGTTTTGTGGGTTGTCTTAGAAATTAACATAAATCATAGCCTTTCCTATCAGACTATTCAAAACTGCATAAACCTGCTCAACTTTATATTGAGTAACAACGAGATAATAGTAGTTAAATCCGTCTTTCTTAACGATGTCGTGTTAAGGAACTCCTACAACAACTTTTCTAGGTGCTCCTTATTCATAGGCTAATTTTAGAGAGTATTTACAGTCAGTCTCGCAATAAACTGTAATAAACATTGCACATGGCTCTGAGCTTGGAGATTAGGTACCACCTCTGCATTGAGGATTGTTCTTTTATATTTGTGAGGAAGGAATGTATATGGATTTACCCTTGTTACCTTGGATAACTGCTTGATTTTTCGAAGTAAAGTCATTTTTCTATTGACTTGGCAGCTTATTTGAGGGATCAATAGAGATGTACATCAAAGGATTTCCGCTAAAAACTGTCATTGAAACTGAGAGATCTTGATCTTTATAAGTAACAAAGTGTCTGAAGTATTAATTCGTCTTAGCCTGTTATGAATTTTGAATAGCTTATTATGCATTTAAATACTGATAACCCTATTAAGTTGTATAGAGAATTGTGTAGGCATAGCTATCTTCTACAAATTTGCTCCACAATGAAGTCTTAGCATGTACTAGGATATAGTAGTATCCCTCTCTTTTGAAGTTAACATCATTTGTCTTAATTTCTAGATTATTATCACTGGTGCTCCAAGTCCACTATTTAGTTCCTGCTTTATCTCCATATCTTACATACAAATCAAATTTTCCTCTTATTGGGCTGATTTATATCTTAATTGATTATTCATAGCCTTCAGTTTGTCTTACATAAATTTTGTAATGATCATCTAAGCCCTTTCCTTTGATACTAGCACTGAATGGTTCTCCTTCTTTCAATTAAGGAATGCGTTCAACTTGATTGGTAGCTCCTTCTCTGTCTACTTTTACTAGTAGATTGAAGGTTGAGTATTAGAATGAGAAGACAGCAACATAATATGTAGTAGAAATTTCACCATCTCCATCTCCAAATGTGACGGACTCTACATCGATGTTAGATTTAACTGAGCTTTTTTCATATAAAAGCTTGTCTGGTTATGGATTGATTCTTGAGACATAAATATCAGCATCACCATGAATAGTATTTAGCTTAAAAGTAACATTTCTAGCATCTTTGTCCTAGAATAAGGTGAAGGAGTAGTATTTGTATGAGTTGATCGTTACAAAATCTTAAAGAATGGTGCCCTCCTTTAGAACTCTATGGTTCCTCTAGGAATGAGAAGCAGAAATAATAAAAGTACTCAACTCCTCTGGATCTTGGTCAACATAAACAAGAATTGAATAGTAACAGTTATTACTATAGTCGATTTTGCATTTCGTTTCATCATGATTAAAAGTTATTGACAATATCTAGCCTACTCTAATGCCACTTTAATAGTCTATATATGATTGCACAAATTCTTCATCACTTGGAATTTTACCACATTTTTTGGGATCATTTTTCTCTTCACAGAATTTTCCATAAAGTGAAGGAGATTTTCCAGATTTCACTTCTAATTTAACATCAATATCAATATCCTCAAATTCATATTCAAGAGATGGTACTTTGTAAACAAAGCTCTTGATGCTTTTACCTTATAATTCGCCCATCTCATCATAACCATCCTCAAGATATGAGAAGTCTTCAAACAATTTTGGCTCTGAGATTTGGATTGAATATGTAGAAGTCATATGAGGTACCGCACAAATGTAATACAGGCCTGTCAATTAAGATTCCTTCTTTCTATCTCTTGGAGTAATTCTAAGCAATGAACTTTGAGTCCCAATATACTGAAAAGCTGCCTTGTCAAAAGATTCGGCTGGTTTTTTTGGGTTTATAGTAAAGCTTATTAAGCCGGAGTATTGATTAATTTTCAAAACCATATCATTCTCTGATGATTGTACGTAATACTTATAGCAGTTTTTGTCTCCAAAGAAAGAAACATCCTCATAGATTTTATTTGTTTCCAACTTCTAAAGGCCTACATTTGACTTTGCTATCACCTAGTATTTACCAGGATCCTGAACATCTACTAAGATATTGACCCAGCAATCATTGCACCAATCTTCTGAAAAATGCTCTGATAATCTCAAAACTTATCCCTTCTTCCAGCCTGGAACTCCTCTGAATGATTTTGATGTAGCAGTTCCATCCTTTAGAGCTGTAGCAGTCAGAATAATGTTATCTGACTATTAAAGTAGCGGCTAGACAGCTAAAGTCACCGAATTTACTCTATTATCTGCATCTTTAGCGGCTGAAGCTGCTGGCACATAGTACTTGAAAAGCTTAGACTCATCAGTCGCAAAATCAATTTGCTCATCTTATCCATCCTCTAAGATTACCGGTTCGAATATATTTGCTTTTAATAAGTACTTGCAATCTTCGAGACATTTAACTCCAATATAGATGTTTTGTCCTTTAATCAACTATTTGTGATTTACTGTGCACACGTCTCTACCTGATGATTCGCATGCAATGTCACTGTTAGCTCTACTATTAGGCTTGTTGTTTGTCTATAGTTAATGTCATCAATATTTTAGAATCTTACCTTTGACAGATAAATATCAGGGTCGCCTTGAGTTTCTGACTCGATAACTTTGACGATCAGATCTTCCTTACCGCTAAACTTAGATGGATCCATTCTAACTTGATAATACTTCACTTCCTTTGCATTCTATCTAAAGTACGAAGTAGAAATTCCTAGTTTGACATCAATATTATCAGTTGGAGCAGTATGAATGCTACTTAGAGCAATCGAAGATAAGAAAAGTGCCAAGATTTGTGATTTGACAGTCCTCTTTGTAAACTGAATCGATTTTCCCATTCAGATTAATAAAAGTATTTAATAATAATAAATCTAAATTCAAATACCTGCTTAAAAGCCTAATTTTTCTGTAAAGTAGATAATGGATCATGGGGTTTTGGGGTTTTGGGGTTTTGGGG